CTCACATTCAAACTGCGCGGCTCCCGGCAGCCCGTGCGCGCCCCGCGCCTGCGCAGGACAGCGGCGGGGCGGGCGGGCACAGCCCTCAGCGGCCCTGGACCAGTACGGGAAAGGGAGAAAAAAAAAATTGGGAGGGGGCTAAGTGAAGCGCAATAATCCTTCCCTCTGACCTAGTGTTCGCGCGGAAATAGAAGTAATAGGTGAAAGCTACTAACGGAAGTGAAAAATAAACTGCAAAAAGAAAAACCACTACGTGAAGAAAGCTGCTGCATAGAACCAGAGACTTACTTGGGTTTAAGACCAAGTGCAGCTGTCAACACAGCACACTGGTCCTGTTCACCATTAAGCTGTGACCTCAAGTGTCATAGTCACGCATTTTTTTTTAATATGCCCAGGGATGGCGACTCCTGCACAGTTCTGATTAGCTTGTTCCAATATCTGACTACCTTTAGCAGCCCCTGTAATTGTGTAAGGGAGGGTAGAGTTCAGCTCCTATCTCCTAGAATCCTCAACACTTTCTTCTTCCTCTTTGAGCTCTGCCACCAGGCTAAGAGATCATCCACCTCACACAGCTGTTTTCCCTGCTGCCCCCAAATCGAATCTGGCAGACATTCCACCACCAAACTGGCAGAGCTCATGCCAATGCTCCTGTCCATACACCGCCCTGTGTGACCCGCCACAGCACCCGAGTGGCCCCAGAGCTCACCCAAGCTCTTAGCACTGGTCACAGGCTCCAGGGAGATGCCTTAGCTGTAGGAAGAAGGTAACTGTGCTGCCTTCCCCACCAGAAAACCCAACCAAACAAAAAATGATAATAACTTTACTAAGTTTAATACAAATAAGGCATTTTGCTTATAGAGTGAGGAGCATTCTTCTTAAGTTCATATAAGAGTTAAAAATGTATAGCCAGATCCCATATAATAGGAGAGCACAACTGTTCAGTGGTGCTTATCTTGGTGTTGGCAGTTGTGGTGAGACCTAGAAATGAAAAAACACACTTTCGAGGCAATATTAGTTTAAGAGATAATATAAGGGCTGGTCTTTATATGAGGCCTTTGGGGGCAGATATGGGAAAATGCTCACCCCACATGGGGTGAATACAGTTTTATAAGTTTAGAAAATTGTATAATTGACAAGAATTCTTAATTAGAAGCACAAGTGATGAAGTAATCTCAACTCTTGCTGCTCCACCCCCTGCTCTAAGACAGGACCTAAACTTTGTTTTTGAAAATGAGTCCCAAAGAGCTGGTTTCAACCTTGGCTCCCAGGAGGAACCAAAACAGGATAGGGGCCTTGGGCCCCCGGGATTTGGAGCCTCTGAAATGTGTTTTGCCTTTCTGCCTATCAGGGTAGGGAAAAGGTGGGGATAAGTACTGGGGCTAGTGGGGAGGTATGTACAACAATAATATACTAACCTATGAATATATCTGAAGAAAGTATATCAGCAAAGATCATTCTGGCATCAGTGGCATATTTCTTCAAGATTGCCCACAGAGAAATAAGGTTGATTATATATACTCTGTTCATTAACACTATTTCAGCTCACTTAAGTCTTGGTGATCAAGCCAGGCCCATCCTAGTACACAAACCCAGTTCATGGATGGTCCATGCCACCTGAGCAAGATTAAGATCTTCGGCTCAGAAGTGAGCAGATCTTTAAGTCTGTCTGCAGTGATTCAACTGAACCAGCCTCAGTGTGCCATGTATCGACACATAACCACACATACTTCCCCCACAACCCTGCACCCTAAGGTTCTTACCTTTTGCTTGGCAGCACACTTATTCACATTGATTACGTTCTTTGCCATATGCTGTGTAACTGAGAGAATGTCACTCTCAGTGTAAGATAGCACTGCAGAAGTGGTAACTGAAAGGAAGGGATTCCATTAGATAAGCCTATTAGAATAATCCAAGTACACTGGGATTTTTGTCTTCAGTTTTCCTTGGACAATTATGGTCTCTTGTCCCACAGTAGGAGGTTTTAAAAGGTACTGCCCTACCACTGTCCCCTTTCAGTGGTTCACAGGAAGACAAGAACACAGTGAGATACCTTGAGGAATGGAGGAGGCATGCACCTCATGAGCGGCATTTTACGGTACACTGTGTCACAGAGTAGGCCTGACAAGCACAACTTACCAACTTGCATCCATTGAAGAGTTTCAGAGACAAACAGAAGGCAGCTGCTGCAATCATGGATGAAGTGAACCATGTCATAACTCACAGTGCACAGCTCCATCAGATACTTGGTACAGATTCAGAGTACAGGGTTGAAATTCAAGTAGCTTAATCACAAAACACTTCTGCATTGTACTAGGGTGCTCACAGTCTAGGACTGCCCCTTTCAATGGCGGTCTAGCAGTTACCTGCAATATCAGTGCCATGTTCCACTGCGGGAAACTGCAAGGGGTTCTTTTCAAATTAGGTGATCAGGAACAAAATTAAGTCTACCAAGACAAACACTGTATCTAAGAACCATTTATTCATAAGGAAAAACAAAAGGGAGTTACTCTACTAACAAGGGCCAGAAAAGATAGAGCAAGAGGAAGAAAAAAGGGAAAGGAATGGGGTGGGGGGAAGACAGAGAGTAAGTGAGAGAGAGTGAGAGAGAGGAGACAGAGAGAAAAAGATACCACTGGAGGTTGGGGAGTGCCATTGACCTCCAGGATGTGGGAGAGCGTGCATGCTGCTTGACAGGCGACTGGACACGAGGTGAGAGGTGGTTGGGCAGGGGGTCCAGGAGCCTGGACAGGGTCCCAGTGAGGATCACTGAGCAGTGAGCAGTGAGCTGGCTCAGAGGTAGGCAGGGTTGGATGCAGGTGGCTCAGACAGGGACACAGGGAGGTAGGACAGATGCGAGGGCAAGCAAGAGCCAGTGAGGACAGGAGAGCCAAAAGGCAGTC